CACAGGCCACACGGACAGGGTGGAGCATGAGTTAGCACAACCTGATCCGCGATGCCGGACATCCCGGCTCTAGGGGTGGCGCAGCAGCTTTCAATCGTCAATGACGCTCTTAATTCAAAGTGGCTTTTCTGACATCGACACAAAACACAACCGCGAGCGCCGAATGCACTTTCCCTCTCAACCGCCCCACATCCCGCTGTGGATCGCGCATTTCGTCCGAGCAGTACTTACAGCGGCTTCTTGCCCATCATCATGATGACTGCGTCGAGGATGTAAGGCCGGATGAAGTGGCACACGACCACCCCAGAACTTGTTGGAGATGGGGCGCTGGTGAAACTGCCGCCCGGTACCAGAGCACGTTGCACATGGGGTTCTGGCGCACTCCCCACGCCCCCAGTCGCGCACCTCGCGCCATCGGATCGGCTGAATCGTCCCCGACGCGCAGTTGTAAACGATGGGCTGGCGCGGGCTGCGAACACACGAGCGGCGAGGAGGGGTGAGCGTCCCTACACGCTGACCGCCCCCGCGCGGCCCGCCTCCCCAGGCGCGAGCGGGCGAAGGCTTGGAGTCTCTGGTGACACGCGCGGTGGCCAAGTGTGGCCGTACATCCCGTAAGCTGCGGGTGGTGATGTCGATCGATGACGATGGGCATGACTTCGAAGGACACTGTACTTGAGTGACGTGGCTCAGGCAGCACGGGGGCGGAGTCGATCTTACTTAGATAGAGGCTGGCTGCTTTTGAAATCTTGGCATTAGAACGATGTAATGGAGACCTCGGTACAGGCGTATCATGCGCATAAGACTTTTACTAGTTCAGGAACACAAGGGGAGCTGTCATAGCCATTACGTAACAAGGCAAAAGCCAGCAGACCGACTGGTTGGATTCATAATTTTTTAGAACCATTCGCACAGCACGATAATATAACTTTTCTATTGAGTCAAATCGACTCGAAGCTCGACTGCATACCCCTAAAATAGGGTAAGTTACTTCAAACACGAAGTCAAGTCGGCGGTACCCGAGCAAAGAACGCGTGATAAGACATGGAGACAGCCGGGAGTGAACTACACACAAGGCGATTGGCAAGAGCTAACACGTCATCGTCTTTGTATTACACTATGCTATTTTGATAATCCGCACGGCTATTTCAGAGTTCAGCGGGGGTGTTACAGCTACGCGAACAGCAAATGAAATCGACCACCGAACGCTCTTTGGCATCATTCTCATGACTTTATGTTGTGTTGAAAAGTGGTCAGAAACCCTACATAAACGTGCGACACAAAACCGACTTTCATACTAAAGTGGACGCGCAGCTGTTCTCGGCGAATGCACAGATGCTCCGCAGTAGGTTTGGTGGTGTAAAGAGATTGGTTACGCACGTGTTGTAATAAGTCAGATGTTTCAACGTGTACCATGACGCGCTGAGCTTTGAAGCCCTAATGGCCCGCTGTCTTGCGCGTGAGGGGTTGGCAGCATCCGGTTGTGTAATACAATTTCACCGTTGTTGGTGCAACCCAGTGCGTCGAGGCCTGCCCGCGCACGCACGGGACAAAGCCGGCATTAACCCGCGCTGCCATGCGTGCGCCCGCGGCGCAGCCTGACGGCAGTGGAGAAATATACAAACAAGTAACGTTGATTCCACGTGATTACATTTCGTTGACTTCACGTGACGCCGTAGAGCTAATGAGAGGCAATGTTTTCATCCCCACCGACAGGAGGATGTGCTTCCTCGTTGCCTTGCTGGGACTGTTGACTGACGATGCGTTACGAGCGGGGGCTCTTCTCCACACGGAAGGCTCACCCGCAAGCAGCCACGTGCAGCCAGTGGCATCACGTCATGCAGATTACAGTGCGGTGTCCTGCCCAGGAGATCAGCGCTGGCCGGCAGGAAAGTCACTTCCATATCGGTCCTAAGAGTGGCGGGGACCACAGTCGTCTCCCCTCCCCTTGAGATTAGTCCGCACCTGGTGCCGAGGAGGACCGGGGACAACGATGATCACGTTAATCGGAGCCTACACAGTCTCGCAGCTGATGCAGCTACGCGACCGGTAAGTAGTTTAGTGAGGTCTAATGTCTAACAACGCTAACTCAGGCGCAATGTGTCATATTTGGCAAATAGTTGGGCTGGGTTTGGCCGACTGCGGGCCGGCGAGGCCGGGACCTAGACAGCTCTCACGCTTCTCCATCTGTCCGGTGAGCTATCCAGGTCTGCCTGGTTCAGCTCGGCTCACCTGAGCACGGCTGTCTCGCTCAGCTCGGCTCATCTGAGCACGGCCGCGCGCCAGGCGACCGTGATCATCAGGTCTGCCTCGTTCGGCTCAGCTCACCGTAGCACGGCCGTGTGCCAGGCGGCCGTGATCATCAGGTCTGCCTCGCTCGGCTCAGCTCACCTGAGCAAGGCCGTGTGCCAGGCGGCCGTGATCATCAGGTCTGCCTCGCTTGGCTCGGCTCACCTGTGCAAGGCCGTGTGCCAGGCGGCCGTGATCATCAGGTCTGCCTTGTTCGGCTCATCTCACCTGTGCACGGCCGTCTTGCTCAACTCAGCTCACCTGAGCACGGCCGTGTGCCAGGCGGCCGTGATCATCAGGTCTGCCTCGCTCGACTCAGCTCACCTATGCACGGCCGTGTGCCAGGCGGCCGTGATCATCAGGTTGATGGGCACGTCCACAGGGATGACGTCGGCCACCAGGTCCTCGTGGCAGAGCAGCGTGCGCATCAGGCCCTTGCCGGCGCCGGCGATCATGCCGGTCGGCCCGTTGAAGTTGTCCACCCAGCCGGGGATCGGCTCCTTCCAGGCGCAGGTCACTGAGGCAAGGGGTGCGGTCAGGGGTCGGGCCTTCGGGTCTGTCAGAGGGCATGGCAGGTGAGCTGGAGACGCAGTTGCCAGACTCCGGAAGCGGGAGATGTGAAGACCAGCATCATTTGAAGACATGTAAAGGTGATGAACTTGAAGCAATATAGATATACGATTTCAAAAATGCTGCCCTGAACTAAGGTTAGAATTTCTGGCATCAGCAACGTGTAAAAGTAGTGGTTAAAGGAAGCTGAAGGCGAAAAAAATGCTGATTGGCTGCGTATTCCTGCTAAAACGGTAATTTCAGATAGCGTTAAACAATTAGCACAAATACAGGAGCAAATTCAGTGATGTGCATGTACATAAATACATACACACATATGCATATACATACATGCATATATATATACATATATATATAGCTATATATATAGATTATATATATATTGCGTGCCACAACCCTCAAATTGCATGCCGATTTGTATATACACACTTCAGAAGTCAGACGGACACCAGGTAACTACTTGGTCCCCGCGACTGGAAAAAAACAACTACGGTAACACTCAGATCTAGCCTAGCATCAACCGCTGCTGGCATGTCCGGCTTGTTGAGTCCCTGCACAGATGGGATGGGATCTTAGTGGTCATATGGGGACCGACACACGATGATCCAACAAGTGGCTTTCACGACTCGTTCGAAAGTTTTGACGGGTTCTCCAGCAAACTCCTTGCCTGTCATCTGCAGCAATCCATGTGACGGACACAGCTTAGAGTCACGGGGATGTTTTTGTGCTGGATTTCTCCGCTGGGTTCCATAAGTGCGGCTTAGTAGCTTACGTGCAGCACACCATTTCTGCTGGCACGCCGTGAGAGATTTCATGCTGGCCAGCTACTGGTCTGGCATGATCCAAGTCATCATGACTAGCAATTGCGTTGCGTGCGACACTCCTCAGAGATCACTGGGAGCACTTCAACAATGTAGGTAAGACACTGTGGTCAGCATTGCAATGCCACAGCCGACGGCAATGTCTCGATCCCTCGGTGCAAGGCCGCCGACAGCGAGCATTTCTAGTTCGTGAACAGTGGAAAGAGGCACGGTTGGCGACTGCGGTGCTGAGAGAAGCACCTTACGAGTCTAACACGTGGCGTGAAGTTATTCAGCAGACTTTTCACAGATTGGGAACCGCAGGCTTGACATTTATGGCGTGTCGTTACTGCAGTTCCGATCCAGCTGCAGATGCTCCATGTGCATGCTGGAGCCTTCAAATGGGTGTGGTTCCGATCGTATCCGATGGCAGAGCATCAAAGAATTAAATCATCTGGGTACCACTCATCCATACTGCTATCATCTGATGCCCTCCAACGGTTGCGAAGGCTGGTGCAACTTACGCTAATTCGTGCCACTGTCAGGAGCCACCTAACATACCTATCAAAAGCGGAAAGAATACGCGTTGGAATTGCCACACCTGAGTGGTGATTCATCGGCTCAGAGGATAATTTGATGTGACGTAGCGATCTGCATCAGCCTTGACCAACATATCTGCGGAAGCATGATGCAAGGTGCCGGACAAGCTAGCTCACCGCACAAACCCATGGCATTCCTTCCACTTACATAGATGGCACATGAACAAGTCTCTGAAGAGCAGTGTGTTAAGTAACTTAGTTATCCCTACATTATTTTGGTATCATGTTGAACTGCATCACGCATAATGTGGGTTCCGTGGGTAGCACAGCAAGATAGAGCCGCAACGTATCTGATAAAAAATCCGGCTATGCGCCAAAACGCCGGCTTTCCAAGCTTAATGGCAACCGTGGAGTAACAGAACATGGTAACTTTCCCTTAACAGCTGTAGAATTCGCTATTTGCATTCACACGTGTTTGAGGTATAAGCTCAGCAGCTAGTAAGCCATCAGTAGGTTGTAGATGGTACTAGACGTGAAGCACGCGGCCGTCGACACGCCTGGACGGCTCGCGTCAGCACGCGTGGGCACGCGCGGCCATGCGGCCGGCCCCCGGACGAATGCTGTCGGACGAGGCGCGTGGGACGCGTTTCTCCCAGCAGGGCCCCGGCATGCCCCTTCGTCCTGCTCGGCCGGGCGGCACTGCCGCGTCGGGCGCCTCATTAGACTGGCCGCCGCTATCCGTGAAACCGGCCCCGTCCGCGGCCCCTGTCCCGGCACGGGGGCGCCCCACCGCCCCGCCGCTGCGTGGACGCTTTCACTGGGCGGCGGCGGCGCGCTGCAGACGTCTGGCCGGCCGGCCCGCGTAACAGCGGGACCCGCCACCCGGTAGATAGCAGATCCTGCATGCCCGTCTCAACCCATTTTGTCATGGAGATAACTGCAACAGGGCGTATTCCGGTCTTGGGCCTTGTCTGGCTGTCAGCAACAGCTCCCTTATCGCCATCACACCAACATTCGACGATGGAGCAAACCAAGTTTAACATATCGGGGTAGTTTGTAAAGATAACGACAAATATCAAGGACAATATTGTTTGTCATGTTTCTTATATTTTGTACATATAGTGCTGCAGCATTACTTAGCCATGACTATAAAATCACGCAAGTAATTGATTGCGACAAAGGGCTATTGTGAAGAGCTAAGGAAACAAAATCGGAGGTATGTACAAGTGCAATAAGACACATACAAATACACAATTAATACAATGCACTAATGCAACTAGTACTCCGGCTGACGGCACCACGACATATATACTGCAGTCAGGTGCAGGCAACATATAAAAAACGCGGCCTCATTCACTCCATGAGAATGACGTTGCTGCTCCAGTTTTTCCGTGGGCAAGAGCCCTTCCGTTGCTAGCTGCGATGCTTAAGTACTTCGGACCCCACCGTCTGGATGCTGCCATGTCACGTGCTGCTTACCCTGGAACATGCAGTCCGGACCTCTCCGCCTGCCGGTAGGACCCCACTGGCGGGCGGACTAGAGCAAGCCCATGAGAAGGGCGGATGGCTCGTCCTGGCCGAGCAAACTCCATACATGGCAGGCAAGCTGCTTGCGCTTAGCATTGTTACATCGCAACAGACACACATCTAGCCTTCCCAACAACATGTCCGGACGCTGCAAGTCCACCTGCGAATTCCTGAGCGGACGGGCTGTAGTCGGTCAGTTAATCATTGAGTTTTAAGGGCGCGTCAACCGGGACGGGCTTTAGTCGGGTGGCTTGTGGACGGGTTTCTGGCGTGACGTTTTCCCAAACGAAGGGCGTGGTCGTGCCGCAGTAAGCAAAACAACTACTTTCGCCTCGGTCAAATGGCGAAAGCCGCGCCTGCACGGAACGCCAGGCTTGTCAACCGAGATGTTGCAGAGCACACCGGCCTGAAGGTCGTGTCGGGCGAAGGCATCAATAAAGTCTACGGAGGCACAGCTTTGCGTCACGCTGAGCGGTACGAGTCACCGACAGCAACTAGGGCGAGTTGGAAGCTGGTGCATCGGGGCCAACGCCAGCGGCAGGTCCGCTTGCGTCTTCGGTGTTCGTGTGTGCGCGTGTGCCTGCTAGTCAGGCCGCTTTGTGACACGGCGGCGCGTCTTGCACGGAGATCTGCATGGTGTCGCAGGTGTCGCGGCTGCTGTGGTGCCGGCTTGCGACGGACCCCGTCGGCCGATGCACAGACCATTCAGTGAGATGCCTGTCCGGGGATGTAATAGCCGTGTGGCTAGCGCTTTAGGCTCCCCCGCTTGGGGCTCGGGTTCGAACCCCGGTCGCGCCATGGCTCCTGAGTAGCCGCGGGCGCTCCATTACAGGGTGCGCGACCACGTGCGTTGCGTTCCTTTAACATGCGCTTCGCTGGGCGTCAATGCGGCGAGGTTTTTCCAACATAACTTCCGAATGACGCAACTACGCCGCGCCAAGCTTTGCATACCTGTACACAATGTGTACCGAAAATTCTGGCATAGAAAATTGGGATGTACCTTGTAAAGTCACTGATCGAAGGTAGGTCAAACTCAGGCCGTGTCTGTCAGCAAGGCAACCTCTGAGGAATCGGTCACTATGATGATGATGACCCCAAGTGTAAGACGAAGCCACACATCTCTGATATAGTTTCCAAGAAAATTAGACAACAGAATTTAGAATGACAATAAACTCAGTTGACCTTATGGCAGGTATGAGGGTCAGACCGAGTAGCCTGCTTTGTGACTGGCAGGCTTGCTTTAAGGGGTAGTTTCTTATGTTGATATCCAATATTCTTATAGCAGGGACCACGCATGTTATCTTTGATGGACTTCTTAAGGGTCAGAGGACGTCACTGACCTAAAATTACCCCGGCCAACAGTTTATTTTTAAAGACATACCGTCTGGTAGCCTTTTACGCTTAGTCAAATGCAAATGTTATAATGATATCGTATGATTTTGGTCACCAAGACCTTTTAGAAGTCAAAAAGGTCATTGACCTAATATGACTATCAGTCACCCTTCGCATTAAATAGGTATCTAAGTTCAAGGCGGTTGCGTGAGAAGGTCCTGCGGCGCTTTGAATGCCAATGCTTGAGTATGGCCTTGCTTGATCTTATTTGACCCGACGTTCATAACTAAGGAGCCTTAAATTTCAACACAAGCGAGTACACATACAGGTCAACACGCGCTATGAATCTGGTGCATCCATCCCCTCAGATTGCTATATCTCAGGCGGTCAAATTCCCCGCTCCCCCACCGGAGCGTTTGATATTCAACCGGAGACCCGGGTGCGAGTTAGTAAAAATAAAAGAAGCTTCGATTGTTCAGTAACTGTGACGAGCGCTGGTGCTGGACTCAGAAAAGCGAGCATGAAGTAATCTTCAGCTTTTGAAAATGACTAGCATGTTTAACTCTTTTGCTTGAAACGCTATATGGATCACCGTAATGGTGGAGGAGTTGCGTGCAGTGTCAAAGGTATGGTGCTGGTTTTTGAGAATCTCAGTGACAATGATTCACGTTCCGTGACATTCTTTTATGACAAGCCTTATTATCAAACAAATTTGGTTGCATGAAAAGGATAAACGAAACGAATCTGATATAGGAACGATGCAGATACCATGCCGTTGTTAACACGCGCCAGGGCGGCCGGCAAGATACCCTTCGCCCGGGTGGGGGTGGGGGGCCAATTCGACCCCACCGAGATCTTGGGAGCTAAGTAAGCGAGAGACACCAAATTTATAGGGTGTCTTGACCTGTACGTGAACTCACTTTGGTCAAAGTTTGAGCTACCAAGATTATGACCTTCAGGTCAAATAAGGTCAGACAAGGTCAAATTCCATGTTGGTCTCCAAAGTGCCCCCAGAACCTAGGCGACTGTTTCTAAGCAAAGGTCCAAAGCTCATTTGAGGTCAGTGGCCTTTTTTGACATTTTGAAGGTCATGATGACCAAAATCATTCAAGACTGCTCTGAGTTTTGCATCTGAATAAGCGACAAAGATTACGCTAGGCAGTATGTTCATAAAACAAAATGTCGATCCGGGTCCTCTTAGGTCAATGACATTTTCTGACCTCTAAGAAGTCAACGGAAGATGCATAGTGCGGTTCCTGCTGCCAATAATTTCTAAGTGAGCACCACCAACTATCCCATACACCAATCCCTAGAGAAATAAATAAGGTTGGTTGCAACTTTGGTCTGACATTCATACCTGACCTTAGGTCAACGTAATTTGCTCATTTGATATTTGTGGTGCCTAAGAAAGCATCTCAGAGATGTATTTGGGGCGACTGCACCGCGCCAAATTTTGCATAGCTGTAGACAATTAAATAGCAGATCGTTTGGTATTACAAATTTAGATGTACCTTGTAAGGTCGCTGACCTATGGCAGGTTAAAGTCAGGTCATAGTTTTGGTGAAGGCAATTTCCAGGGAATCCTTTAGTCTGGTCCAACAACGAAGTGTTCGACGAAACCATACATCTCTGAGATGCTTTGTTAGGCAACACAACAGTTCAATGAGCAGATTACATTGACCTAAGGTCAGGTATGAAGGTCAAATCAAGGTCAAAACCACCCTGTTTTGTTACTGTAGGGCTTGCTGTATGGGATAGTTTCTGGTGCTCATTTCGAATTTATTGATGGCAGGAACCACATCATAAATCCTCCATGGACTTCTTAGAGGTCAGAATAGGTCATTGACCTAAAATGACCCAGACCAGCACTTTGTTTTAGGAACATACTACCTAGCGTTATCTTTGTCGCCTAGTCAAATGCAAAACTCAAAGCAATCTTGTGTGATTTTAGTCACCTTGATCTTCAAAAGCTCAAAAAGGTCACTGACCTTGAACGAGTATGTGACTTTTTGCTTAGAAACGGTTATCTAGGTTCTGGGGACACTTTGGAGACCAACATGGAACTTGACCTTGTTTGACCTTTTTTGACCCGAAGGTCATAATCTAGAAACCCGAAACTTTGACCTAAGTGAGCTTACGTACAGGTTAACACACCCTGTAAACTGGGTGTTTCTAGCTCTCTTAGTTCCCGAGATCTCAGCGGGTCAAATTGACCCCCCACCGGAGCGAAGGGTATCTAGCTGGCCGCGGCATACGTTAAAGCAACAGATCTCTGATCGTGTCCTGGCAATGTCCGGAAGCTACCAATCGCTGTGGTGAGGGAAATCGAGTCCAAACGCGGTAGCGCGCTAACCCCGCTGCTGAGAGAGAGAGAGAGAGAGAGAGAGAGAGAGAGAGAGAGAGAGAGAGAGAGAGAGAGAGAGAGAGAGAGAGAGAGAGAGAGAGAGAGAGAGAGAGAGAGAGAGAGAGAGAGAGAGAGAGAGAGAGAGAGAGAGAGAGAGAGAGAGAGAGAGAGAGAGAGAGAGAGAGAGAGAGAGAGAGAGAGAGAGAGAGAGAGAGAGAGAGAGAGAGAGGAGAGAGAGAGAGAGAGAGAGAGAGAGAGAGAGAGAGAGAGAGAGAGAGAGAGAGAGAGAGAGAGAGAGAGAGAGAGAGAGAGAGAGAGAGAGAGAGAGAGAGAGAGAGAGAGAGAGAGAGAGAGAGAGGAGAGAGAGAGAGAGAGAGAGAGAGAGAGAGAGGAGAGAGAGAGAGAGAGAGAGAGAGAGAGAGAGAGAGAGAGAGAGAGAGAGAGAGAGAGAGAGAGAGAGAGAGAGAGAGAGAGAGAGAGAGAGAGAGAGAGAGAGAGAGAGAGAGAGAGAGAGAGAGAGAGAGAGAGAGAGAGAGAGAGAGAGAGAGAGAGAGAGAGAGAGAGAGAGAGAGAGAGAGAGAGAGAGAGAGAGAGAGAGAGAGAGAGAGAGAGAGAGAGAGAGAGAGAGGAGAGAGAGAGAGAGAGAGAGAGAGAGAGAGAGAGAGAGAGAGAGAGAGAGAGAGAGAGAGAGAGAGAGAGAGAGAGAGAGAGAGAGAGAGAGAGAGAGAGAGAGAGAGAGAGAGAGAGAGAGAGAGAGAGAGAGAGAGAGAGAGAGAGAGAGAGAGAGAGAGAGAGAGAGAGAGAGAGAGAGAGAGAGAGAGAGAGAGAGAGAGAGAGAGAGAGAGAGAGAGAGAGAGGAGAGAGAGAGAGAGAGAGAGAGAGAGAGAGAGAGAGAGAGAGAGAGAGAGTAGAGAGAGAGGAGAGAGAGAGAGAGAGAGAGAGAGAGAGAGAGAGAGAGAGAGAGAGAGAGAGGAGAGAGAGAGAGAGAGAGAGAGAGAGAGAGAGAGAGAGAGAGAGAGAGAGAGGAGAGAGAGAGAGAGAGAGAGAGAGAGAGAGAGAGAGAGAGAGAGAGAGAGAGAGAGAGAGAGAGAGAGAGAGAGAGAGAGAGAGAGAGAGAGAGAGAGAGATAGAGAGAGAGAGAGAGAGAGAGAGAGAGAGAGAGAGAGAGAGAGAGAGAGAGAGAGAGAGAGAGAGAGAGAGAGAGAGAGAGAGAGAGAGAGAGAGAAAGAAAGAGAGGAGCCGTGTCTTCTTATTTTTGCACCAGGAACAGGTGGAAACCTCCACGGGTGGGCCAAAGCTGTTTAAGAGCCGTGTAAGCCACTTCAAACAGACAGCGTGCTGAGCTTCTCTAAAAGGAAACAAAAGTGCCGGGACGAACGAGCGTAATTCGTAGTGTTGGGCTCAACCTGGGAGGGCGAGCTGAGCATCGGCTGCCACGCCGTCCGCACAGCCGGACGCAGGACACCTGGTTGGGTTCGAAAGGAGCTCACCGATAGAGGGGCGGACGATCACCAGCGGTAGGTCTTCCCTCTCCTTCACGAGCAGGCTCTCCGCTAGAGCCTTGGTGTACGTGTACGTGTTGGGACGGTTGCCCAGCAGCCTGCGGGAAAACACGGCGGTTACATTAGCACAGTTGTGTCCGTTGTGTTGTGTCTAAGCGCTGTGCACACACAGGGAAGGCCAGCGAAAAAGATGACAGCAAGACGTTTGCCAAGGTGATCCCGTAATGACAAAGATAAAGGCTAGTTTTAACTGGATAACAGCAAACACAGAAGTGTACTCTAGCTGTTGTTCGATGTGCGGGCACCTTATCAGTATAATTCGTATTTACTTACACTGCTAGTCGCTACCGTTCATCAAACATGCAAGTTCAGTCATTTTGAGCAGCCGTTTAAAGAAAGCGACAAACCGGCTGGTGATCTCAAGAGCCTCAGCCAGGCAGCCCTGCCACCAAAATGTTGTTAGTTGATGATCTAATGGAAAAACCGCGACAAAAGCTGACTAATCCTTCCAAGGGCAGGATGGAAGCTGCAGCCAAGGAATTAATCTGCACTGCATACAGAACGACGGGCATTCCCCCAACACGTGCAGGAAAGGCCTTCGTGAGGCTGTCACCAAAGCCGGAGGATCCTTGAACGTTTTAACGACGGCTCTGTCTGCAGGACGCGCCCCATTCTGGCGGTCTCAGATTAGCAGGAGTTGATAATCGCACACCAAGGATACAGGAAAGTGCAATAGGGAGTTCAGAGAATTGCGCACTGGTTGAGCAATGGTTGTTCCCGACACTTCCGGGCCGCACTTCCGATCGGTGGATACATGTGCTTTTGGCAAGGGAGTTTGCTACAAGCCGATTATGAGTACGCCGATAATAATCGGTTAAGGATGGCGACCTTCCAAAATAAATCTTAGACATGATATCCCATTTATGAAAAAGAACAGATCACACTGACTCAACGAATAGGAAACTCCTATACCCAATGGAAAGGAACACGAAAAGAACGTTCTTTTAAAAACTCGCATATCCATTATCGTCTGAGTTACCATGCCAGGCGGCGCAGCAAACGCACAGGGAGCAACACAGACATGCGTGCTCATCCCCGCCCTCCCCCAAAGCCTTGGATCCATTGAGTGCAGCACTACTGCCTGAGCTTCGGCGTGATGTACCGTGCCGGCCTCACTCACCTCGGCGTGATGTCGGCCAGCACGTCGTCGTCCAGCCAGTCGACCATCTCCATGACGCGCTTGGGGTCGGCGGGGCTGGGGTACACGATCTCGTCGATCACAGACCGGTCGCAGTTGCAGTAGGCCGTGGACACGTGCACGAACGCCTGCGCACAGACACGGTCGCGGGAGGTCAGGCGCGAAACGCCCGGGGTAGGGGTCAGTCGACGGGTGGGACGGACGCGACAGACGCTTGCTCCCTACTGCGATAACACAGACCAAGAGAAAGCAGACGGCGTCATCTTGGATAGTTAAAATGCGGTAGGTTACTCTTTTCCCTCGCCGGTTCACTTTTTGACGTCGCGTATATTTTCATTATTCTGCGTTACCAGTCAAAAAGAATGCACTTCCACACATACGCATTGTCCATGCAAATAACTGGCCTGCAACAGTATTTCTATCACTGCACTCATTCCAATGAGCGGACAGGGTCAGCGTCTTATGAACACTATTATCAAATCATGCATCTATACTTCCTCCAAAGAAGCACAGATCTTCGGATAAATGTTCGGAGATTGGTCGAAGAACCTTTAGTTTCAGCGTGTGCAACTCATTGGCACATGCGGCCACACGCTACTAACCCACGCGCGACAGTGCAATGTAACTCATTGGCACATGCGGCCATACGCCTACTAACCCACGCGCGGCAGCGCGATGCAACTCATTGGCACATGCGGCCATTCGCCACCAACCCACGCGCGACAGCGCAATGCAACTCATTGGCACATACGGCCATACGCTGCCAACCCACGCGGCATCTCACCTCCAGATTTCTCATCTTCTTGGCCAAGTGGAGGAGTGACTGCGTGCCTTTGACGTTCATGGTGACCGACACCTTGAGAACCTCGTCGAATTTGACGGTAGCCGCCGAGTGGAAGACGATGCTGACCTGTGGAAAGCGCCGGCGATGGCGCTCGTTTCAACATGTGGCAAGCAGGGTCAAGGGCGCATCCAAGGAGGTGGCTGCTTAGGCTATGACCCCTCCATTAGGAAGTGCGTCGGTCTCACAAGAAGGACAAAACTGAAGAACCTGCTAAGCTGGCGAGGATCACAAGAACATGCCAGGTCCCACTGATCTTGAGCGTATCCGCAACGCTCGTCCGATCTCAATGAGCCGTATGAAGGTTTCGCAGTATTTAGAGACATTTTGGGATTTTAATGTAAGAAATGGTTTACTCACATGTGGCACTTGAACAGAACCATCATCCTTACTATGATTAATGCGCTTATGTCGATTTTGAAATGGGAGGATTATAGCTGGTGATGGAAGGTGAAGTTATAATTATTGTAAGTTAAGATAAGCTCCTTGCAGGGCTTAAGATCATTGATGTCTATATCGAGGCGGTGTTAAAATCACCTTTGTCGAGACAGTTCAAGTACTGCCTCATGGACAAAGAGAGCATTTACAAAGGAATGGGCAGACCCCAAGTTTAGTGTCAAGTAAGTACTTTGGGCACTGCATAATCCTGCGAGCTGGCACGACATAAACCCTTCACAGCACTCGATCAATTGAAGGTATGCGAATGTGTGGGTCAATAACTCCACAGAGATTGCAAGATGGCATCGTTGGACTGGGCTAAGACGCTGCATTATTTATTCGTATGATAGATGGATGTGGGGAATGAATGAATGCTTTGCATGAATGTAAGGCACGCCGCGCGTGCTGCAAACGTGCGGTGTACGGTGATGTCGAGACTCGTGCCATGGAATGGAGACCACATACCAGCTGTTTGGTAATAATCCGTCCACAGGTTAGTGCGGGGATGTGCACACAGCTCATCCGGAGTTTCACGCGAACATTTGCACCTAGCACTTCTGCCCCTGACCAGGGCGCGGCTAGTCGTACGTTATACCATCAGACACTGCTCCATATACTCGTGACAGGATACATCCTTCTAGACATCCTTCTAGACACACAATCTTCTAGACATGAGTGAAGAAGTACCGCCGTGGGATGCTCGATGTGACGGCGCCTCACAGATATCCGTATTCCCTTCGCATCGTGACGCTGTGTAGCGTGCATCGTTCGCGGTGTAATGTCGCGTTGATACGGTTCCCTCTGATGTAAACGTCCAAGGAGCCGAAGAAATGGCCTGAACATATTCGGCCTTACGTGTCGCACATCATGCATCAACGTATACACGCGCATGCGTGCGTGCGTGGACTCACGTTGGCCTCACATAGAAGCGGCCTCGGCCACTCATACCACTGAGGATGAATCGTCCATTGGGCAACTGAAGCGGTCTGGGTAACCAAATGACCTAAATTCCGAACCGTACTGACAGTCAACCGGTCGATTCATCTACGTCAGCTGCCGTGAATCACCGACGCGGGCGGTCACAACACCTGTTCCAGTGCGCCGGCCGCCTGTCACCACGCCTAGCCGCGCTGGCGTCACCAGGCCCCGGAACCCAGCGCCTCCGCACCCCCAGCTGAGCGCGGCCAGGCCGAGCCGCCGCCCCGTCCGCTTAGCGCCACCGCCGGCGCCCCCGGCTCGCCCGCGGGGCCGCGCGCCGGAGCCGGTCACGTGACTGACCTCGTCCTCCAGCGTGGCGCGGTCCGCGGCCGAGAGCCCCAAGCCCGGCTGCATGATGTCGCCAGGGATGGCCACCAGTTTGTCCAGTTGGTCCGGGTCGGTTTTCTTTAGGTAGTCGAATATCTGCCGGGGGAGAGAGGCGGTTACTTTTCCTGTCGACGTCGGACAGCGGCGCGGTGCCGTGGCCGGGGGGGGGGGGGGGCATCAGCGGGCAGGACGCTGGCGGCATCGCTTCGCCTGGTGCACGTGAAACCTCCGTCAGAGGAGCGGATTCAATGCCACTTGGCGGCGAGGAGGGTGCCAGGCCGGCGCAGCTGGACAGCGAGAGAGGCGAGAGGCGACAGCGAGGATGGATGGATGGACACCCCGACAGGGGCGCGGCTCAGTCGTGGACCGGATGAGCGAAAGCGAACCAATCTAGCGCACCGGGGACGGCGAGAGATGACGGAACGCGCGATCCAAGGGCTCGTCCTCCCTGCCAGAGAAGGATGTGACCGCGATGCCGCAACTTCTGCCCAAAGCCTGGGGCGAGCGCCGCCCCTTCTCAGACCAGCGCAGCTCAGCCTGGCCCGCCCAGCCTGGCCGGGCCTGGCACGGCCCGGCGTCGGCCCGCCGGGCCTGACCGGTCGGGCCGGCTGCCCGCTGCCGGCCGCCGAAAGTGGTTGCGCCGACCGGACGCAGGGCGACCTTGTTGACCGCTGGCATCGAACCTGTACCCGGTGCACACTTTCACCGGCGGCGGGGCCCGAGCGCGGGTGCTGGCGGCCCGCGGCCGTCCTAGGCGGGGCTGTGGCAACGGCGAGAAGGCGGCAGTCGCAGGCGGCGCTGATGACATCCGTGGAGGAATGCACAGCGGCCGAGGAAATACGGATGTCTGTGAGGTGTCATCACATCAGGCGGTCCACGGCGGAGCTCTTTCGCTCTTGTCTTAGGAAGGTTGCTATATGCTGTCACACGAGTGTCTGTAGCGGTATCTGATGGTATCAGACTGCGCTGATAGACATCGAAGTTTCCGGTTAACTTCAGTGCGCAAGGACCACGTGGTTACCAAAAAGACGCACCCCGGGAGCTTCAAGATTTTCTCAAGCAAATGCCTTTTGTGCCGCAAGCAAGCCCATTTCTTAGCATACATCAAATGAGCGACGTAGCTTCTTTCAGAGCATGTCTTGCCGCGTAATTCGACCGGTGCGAACAGTTTCACGCACAGGAAACAATCACCCCACTCATGCATTGTGGCTGAATGGACTGAGCATGATGCACACTGACGGAAAACAATTGGGCTACGAGGCGGCGAGAGTTAGGGTGCATTTCCATGCTGACAAACTACAGCCACGTGGCAGAGCAGCCACAAAACCGAACACACGGCACGCTTCCGGGGCAAAACCGGCGCTTTCCTCTCGTGCTCAACTGGCAGAAGGAGGTCAGTTCTTCAGAACGTCCTTGACTGGTGTATTTCTTCCTCGGACGGACGGGATACCGGTACGTGCAGACGGTCTCTCTCTATAACGGCTGGCTTGCACAGCACCCGTCACAGTTTTTATCTGCGTCAGTGTCCTTGGATGTGACGCCTGAGTCAAGACGTGACAAGCAGTGCTGCCAGCCTGCACGTCCGAATGCCGTCCGGTGGCATAGCTTTCCGAATCGGTTACAGGACGTCATGCATCTCTCTTGCTCTCCCCTTTTCCACAATAGGTCATAGCGTGCATCGAGTGCAGTTTCGTGATGCATTCGTAAACAAACGATGGACAAGTTTGAAAGCGACCCACATGGTATGGAGAAGATATGTAGGGACTCACGCCAAGTACGGCAGAGCGACAGGATGCATTATCATCGGTAGGCGGCTGCAAATACATTTGCATTTGCTGCAGACATTTGGGCACATTTTGGAGCCCCTATTTTCTGCAAATGGACAGAGCACATCTCCTCTCGAGATCAAGGGCGTCATTAAGAACACCACTGCTGTTGTCTTTTTGTTATTCGCTCCAACAAGTTGAGAAGAAAATCGGATACCTGATGTAAAAGCCTTGCCTTTAAGGACAACAGTACACCTGAAACAATGCCCCAAAGATGAAGATGGAAGACGCAGTGAGGTCTTGTTTTAACCACAAATGACCCTATTCACACCCACCTTTTCGACATCAGGAACAATATAAGCACACAAGAACAAAAATAGAGCAAAAAGGGCAGCTTGAGCTCCCCTTCTTCCTATCGCCGGCGTAAGATATGGTTTGCTCTTGGGCCTGTATGCACCAAATCAAAACTGCGGATTGAACACGTCTGATGGGCGTAAAATGGCATCGAGTTGACCTGTCCCTTATCACCAAGCATCGTCATCATGGATTGTACACTGCATGGACGACTTGGTATGACCATGCACGCACGAATGTATACACCACGTGGCGCCTGGAGCCACTGGAGCCGCCTGGCGATAGCTTCGCTGAATTATTCAACGGTCTCCGAGTATGTGTGTAAGGAGGGGGGGGGGGGGGGCGAGGCTTCATCTCTGGATTCCATTACCTAGTTGAGTACGCATAATCAAGGACTATGCGACAGCGAATCTGCGGTGCAGCCAGCCGTCAGCTGCCTTTCCGGCGCCGCCCGACGGCCGGCAGACCGTCCCGCT